ACGTACTCCTACGTTATTTGTTGCGGGGAGTGTTAGAATAGTGTGGACTTTCTCGGCTTGTAATGCCCGGTAATACCTAGTAATACCCTGTAATACCCTGTAATACCTTGTAATTCCTGGTAATACCCTGTAATACCTGGTAATACTCTGTAATACCCGGTAATACCTTGTAATAAGCGTAATACGCGTAATACGGAGTAGTCTGTACACGAAAATGCCGAGATAAAACCCCCTCGCATAATATGAACATTCACATTTGGTTCAGGACGTGCCATATTCGAAATACGGAGGTCTGTTACACACTGCCCCACCCTCCCTTATGATATATTTTTGAAGACATGAAAACTCTAGGTGATTTGGACGGTTTTGGCACAGACGTTTACCTGCTCTAAATCTCCTTGGTCAGTAGAGTAATGCCAACGTTTTAAAACATGCTCTGTTGTAAATGTATTATGAGTCCCAAACATTGACGAATAAAAAGATGGTGCCCCGTCCTGATCAGGTTGAACCATGATTGCAAGATAAAGCATTCCGGTAAAGCTGAAATGCAGAAGAATTCGGGGAAGAAGAAAACGGAAGTCACCATGTTAAAGCATAGCGATTTCCGTTTTCTCCTTCCCCGCATTCTTTCAGCTTTACCGAAATGCTTTATTGCATAGGCAGATGATGATGGCATGACTTTTTCAAAGTGTATTGCAATTGCAATCAAGACAGCTGAAGAGGCAGGGAATGAGTTTGTTACAGGACACTAATGTCAGCAAGTGTGCCTGCATATATCAACCTTGACCTGCGGCGCTGACACCCGAGTCGAGTCGCAGGAAAATGCACGCCAAGAGGCACACGAGACCTCCATATCCTCCAGCTCGGCGATCATGCGCGCCGGCTCCTGCCGCAGCCGCTCAAGGTCGGACGCCACCTGATCACAATCGGCCACTGGTTGGGCACACACGGCATCTTGCTCCACTTTGCAGGGATCGGGCCGAAGATAAGCGTACGATTGGCGGCACTGCGTGCAAGACGGGGGTCTTTGACGGCAGGTGCGGCACTCCTCGTCTAAGGGGGAACTGTACCGTATTACCTCAAAACAGAATTTGTTTGTGTAACAGTTACTTGAACCGTTATGTTGCAGCCTTCCTCGTCAAGGGACACTTTTTACTGCTCATATCAAGGCTATATTGCTAGTAAACCTCACTACAATTTTTTTAACGGTATTACAGAAATGTCTTATGTGGCAACATCAACATCTACACCGAGCTGTGGTCAGGCATCTTTAATAATATACTAAGCATTGAGTACCAAGACTGCAGGAAAGACGCACAGGTGCTCATATTTAGAGCGGCACTCTTTCGAAAAAGAGAAAGGGTCTGTGGTTTCCGAGCGCGCGCGATGACAGTAAGGAGTAGTAATCTGGAAAATGAAGCGAATCATTAGTCACTGGCCTCAATCGCATAAACGAATAAACATATGCGGAACGTGATGCCAAAAGATATTCTAGGGAATAACAGGCTATCCGAATGATAACAAAGCGTCTTTAACATAACGTTCCTTCCAATCGTCTCTCGTAAGTTATAACTTTTAACAGTCACCTGTCGTTGTCTTCACTTCACTAGAGCCCTGCAAAGAGCGAGCTTAATGACTACCCCGAACCACCTCTCGCCTTTCGAAGAAGGGGTGTAGCTCGCGTAGTTTGCTCGATGCAAGGCTCTACACCTCACCCTTTATCCCGGTCGAGTGGACTCTCGCCGCAAGCAGCGTAGCCTGCATCTGCCAGTGCCTCCGTGGCCTCCTCGAGCCGCTGGCCGCCCAGACACAGGATGTAGAAGATGAAGACGTACGGCACGGAAGGCAGGCAGAAGCTGTCGAAAGCTCCGCGAGCCACAAGCACCGTAGACACGCCGGGGACAAACAGGAACCCCACGGTCAGCGCGCTGCAGGGAAACTCAAGTACGGTGCGGGCCTCCCCTATGAGCGCGCTAAGGGCAGCATGGCGGCGAGCAGCCTGCGGAAGAATTGCCCACCAGAGAGCTCCGTAACTAATACCATACGATCGAATGTTAGTTACTATAAAACGTCTAAACGTAACAACGTGGAAAAACACTGTTCACATTAGTTGAGGGTGTATGAACAACATACTTTGCAAATATTAACTAAAAAATATATCGTGAATTGACGATATTTTTGACAGTGATTCTTATATTTAAGGAAAAGTTAAGCTTTTCTGGTTTCGACCCGTGGCACTGTAAATCATGAGCATGAAATTGCTGTGACGTTACATTCAGTAAGGGAACTGAACCTAACCTATTTCGGATCAGCCCCTAATTCTGGTCAGTAAGGCATACACTCTCTCGCTTCCTTCCTAAAATGGATCAGTTTTATTTTTTTTGTGAAGAGGTTTGTCGTTTTCTACCAGAAAATACCATTGCCTTATCCTGGTGCGGCCCGAGCGACCTGCGCGGCCGATTTGAACATTAAAATTCATCGTTTGAGGTGGGAGAATGTTATGCTTTGGTCAAATTGATATTGCTCGGTATGTACGCATAAATTCTCGTCTTTAGTTTAATGCCCAGAGAACAAGTTTCGAACGTGGATTCGATCTAATATTACGTCAGGCTAAAACGCGGGTAGCGGTCCAAACTAACAACTGCTTAGGTCGAGCTTTCCGAGCAGCTTCGATGGTAATAGGGGGAACTGTTTTGGTGCTCATGATAACTTTGTTATGCTACGGAATATTTGAAAGGGTTGCTTTGAAGCTAAATAACACATACAGAACTGTGGCTTCATATCTCGGCCGGCCACAAAACGGAAATGAAGGCGGCTGTGCGAGTGGCCATACCCTAACACAATCTTGCTCTCTCGCAATAGACATTCCAGCTGGTCGAGAATATAACGTTTACTCGTCTTTTTCACTTAATCTACTTAAAAACTACCGCCGCGTGTGTTTTAAGTCGATTTTTTAATTGTTAGGGTAGGTGATACAGTTATGGGACGGGGTACAGTTATTGGACGCTTCGCACTGCGAGCGCCACTGTAGACAAACCGCGCGATGCAGACAAACCGACCGAAGCGCGTTCGGTGGGTGGGTTCTTGAACTATCATCTACCGCTGTCACCGCTCCGGCAGCCTCACTCACAACGGAGCAGTAGCGAGCGGCGGAAACATCTGCTCGGTGAGCCGACAGAGAGGTGAGTTTCTTAGCGGCGCCAGCAAGGGAAAGGGTTTATAAAATCTACTTTTTATAGCGATTATCGATCGAATCCGTAAATTCCGTTCATGGTTTGGTACTGAGGAGAGTCCATTGTTAAAGATGGCTGTGTCGTTGGCTCTGATTTGGTTGTCAGTCTCAGTAAAAGGGGGGTGTCCAATAACTGGTGCACGAAATGTCACTGCGACAGTTATTGGACGGCAGTCGTTTTTGAAGCGTATTACATGTTCTATTGGCTTTGGATCATGTCTACCATGATTTTACGGATGTCGGACGTAAACACTGAGCAACACGGAAGTGAGAAAGGTTGGGGAAGCCGGGGGGGG